AAGCGAGTGTCTCACTATGTTCAGGTAACAAGCGTGTGTCTCACCCCGTTCAGGTAACAAGTGCGAGTCACACCCTGTTCAGGTAACGAGCAAGTGTCTGACCCTGTTCAGGTAATGAAAATATGTCTCACTCTGTTCAGGTAACGAGAGATTGTCTCACTATGTTCAGGTAACAAGTGAGTGTCTCATTATGTTCAGGTAACAACAGAGTGTCTCACTCTGTGCAGGTAACAACAGAGTGTCTCACTCTGTTCAGGTAATGAGTGAATGCCTCACTCTGTTCAGGTAACAAGTGAGTACCTCACTCACTTAAGGTAATAAGCAAGTGACTCACCCTGTTCAGGTAACAAGTGAGTGTCTTACTCTCTTCAGGTAACAAGAAAGTGTCTCACTATGTTCAGGTAACGGGCGAGGGTCTCACCCTGTTCAGGTAATAAGTGAGTGTCTCACTCTGTTCAGGTAACAAGTGAGTGTCTCACTATGTTCAGGTAACAAGTGAGTGTCTCATTATGTTCAGGTAACAACAGAGTGTCTCACTCTGTGCAGGTAACAACAGAGTGTCTCACTCTGTGCAGGTAACAACAGAGAGTCTCACTCTGTTCAGGTAAAGGTAACAAGCAAAGGTAAAACTCTGTTCAGGTAATGAGTGAATGCCTCACTCTGTTCAGGTAACAAGTGAGTACCTCACTCACTTAAGGTAATAAGCAAGTGACTCACCCTGTTCAGGTAACAAGTGAGTGTCTTACTCTCTTCAGGTAACAAGAAAGTGTCTCACTTTGTTCAGGTAACGAGCGAGCGTCTCACTATGTTCAGGTAACGAGCAAGTGTCTCACCCTGTTCAGGTAACTCTGAGCAAATGCGGTGTCTTTAGTTTCTCTGAGAGGATCATTCTCCAGAATGTTCTCGTCGTAGAGCAGGGGCAGTTTGTTTGCATCTTTACTGTAACGCTCCTGACGGGTTCTTGTTAGACCACGAAGGGGACGGCTGCGACCTGCACAATAGAGACAGACGGAAACCGCAGGGACAGTAGAAAAGAGACCGCAGGGACACGGCACAGTAGGACAGGAGACAGTAGAAATGGGGGACAGCATGAACACAGCACAGTAGGATAGGATACAATAGAAAATAGGGACAACAAGTACACGGCAGAGTAGGACAGGAAAAAAAAGAAAAGAGGGACAGCAGGGACACGGCACAGTAGGACAGGAGACAGTAGAAAAGGTGGACAGCATGAACACAGCACAGTAGGACAGGAGACAATACAGAGGGACAGCAAGGACACAGCACAGTAAGGCAGGAGGCAATAGAAAAAAGGGACAGCAGGGACACAGCACAGTAGGAAGGGGGACAGTAGAGAAGGACAGCAGGGACACGGCACAGTAGGACAGGAGACAATAAAGAAGAGGTATAGCAGGGACACAGCACAGTAAGGCAGGAGGCAATAAAAAAAAGGGACAGCAGGGACACAGCACAGTAGGAAGGGAGACAGTAGAGAAGGACAGCAGGGACACGGCACAGTAGGACAGGAGACAATAAAGAAGAGGTATAGCAGGGACACAGCACAGTAAGGCAGGAGACAATAGAATAGAGGGACAGCAAGGAAACAGCACAGTAGGATGGGAGACAGTAGAGAAGGACAGCAGGGACACAGCACAGTAGGACAGGAGACAATACAGAGGGAAAGCAAGGACACAGCACAGTAAGGCAGGAGGCAATAGAAAAAAGGGACAGCAGGGACAAAGCACAGTAGAACAGGAGACAACAGAATAGAGGGACAGCAGGGAAGCGGCACAGTAGGACAGGAGACAATGGAAAAGAGGGACAACAGGGACATGGCACAGTAGAACAGGAGACAATAGAGAAGAAGGACAGCAGGGACATGGCACATTAGGACAGGAGACAATAGAGAATAGGGACAGCAGGGATATGGCACAGTAGGACAGGAGACAATAGAGAAGAGGGACAGCAAGGACACAGCACAGTAGGACAGGAGACCGCCAAAACCAAAACAACACAAAAAAAGAGTAACATTTAGTTTTCAGCAATGCTTCGCAGCAGAATACAAGGTCTCTGTCGCATACATGGCTGTCCTCGTCCTCGTCCTGGACACTTTCGTCCTCCTCTGGGAGTCCCCTCTCCGTGTGGTGTCTCCTCACCCTCACCCAAGCCTGTCTTGAAGCATTGCACCTCTCCAACATCTTCAGCCTTCAACCCATCTTCCTCCTCCTCCTCCTCCTCCTCATCTTCCTGTGAGGTGGGAGACTGGTCGTCCTCAGAGTCTCCGTCCACACAGAGACGACGCTCTGTGGCCAACCATGTTAGCTGCTTCATTGTCTCCTGTGGGACAGACACAGGGAAATGCGTACTGTTGTGAACTGTAGTCACGACAGCAGTTCTGGACCACATCATCACCAACCTGACAACTTCTTGTTTACCTGCAACTCTGGAATGGACAAAACTGACTCCTCTGATGCTGATGACATTACTTCCTCCTCATCTTCATCCTGTGTTAGGTCATCAAAATCCTCTTCCTCTTCTTCTTCTTCATCCTCTTCCTCCTCATCCTCACCCTGGTGGTCCTTGTCTCCATTACCCTTTCTCTCTCCTCCCCCTGCCTCCCTCCTGTCCTCCTCCTCACTGCCCTGCTCTCCCTGTCCCTCTCTCCCCCCGCATGTTTTGTCCACTTGGTGGTCTTCCTTGTCCTCAGTCTTCTCCTGCTCCTCGTGTCCTTCAGGGTTTCCATCCTCTCTCTCTCCATTTTGGCCAACAGCCATCAGAGCCCAGTTCTGCTCCTCCCTCTCCTCCTCTTTGTCTCCTGTGCAGGAAGACAGTAGACTAAGAGTGGATGCAGAGCTCTCTTCCTCCTCCTCCTCGTCTCTCAGCTTCGATTTCACCTCCTTCTCAAACAAAGAGTATGGCTCTCTGACATTTTGCTCCTGCTGCTCTGCACTGATTGGTTTGTAGAGCTCTGGTCCCAGTGCATGCTGGGAGGTCGTGGTGAAACAAGGAGCTGAAGGCAACCACACCATCTGCAAAAGGACATAATCTGGCTCCTGTAAAGCAGGTGAACAAGGCATTGTGGGAGTTGTAGTGCTAGGGCTGGACAGGGATGTGAGGGGCAAGAGCAGAGGTGCAGAGTTTTGTTGGCCTATAGGGAGGTCAGACTGGATGGCATCAGCACACTTGGGATGGGTGGGGCCTAAGTGAGGAGCAACCAAAGGGGCGGCCCCTCTGACTGGAGACTGAGCAGGCGGGGATCCTGACACAGCAGGGGGGTCAGGTACCAACACGCTAGATGGCTGCGTGTCCACCCGTCCATTCAATGGGGCTTTGGCCAGAGGAAGCAGAGACGCATTGTGGGCCAAGGTGAAAAGGCGCCTGTGAGCAGAAAGAGGTGGGCGGGACTTACTAATAAAATAGGGATGGAGCCTGAGGGTGCAGCCAGGGGGGAGGAAGGGGGGGTAACGAGTAGCATCGAGTCGAGTTTTCTGAATGATCTGCTGACTGTTCTGCAGGGGAAAAAAATCACGGCGAATGTTAGAGACCTTTCAATGCATCAGTGTGAGGTTATGAGACTGATGGGTTAGTTAACGCATGAGGTCTAGGTTAATTCACAGGTAGGGGTTAGTCCAGTGTTTCCCCTAACATTATACAAGCAGTGCACCCCGACCTGTCAACAGAACTGACGCCCTGCCTACCAAATTGTATACCCCCCCCCCCCCAATCCCAATCCACTACTGCCGGTACTGACGTAGCGCTAAGCTAGCGGTGCACAGTACATACGAGCTAAATTCATTCAACCTTTATTTATCCAGGTTAGTCTCATTGAGCCTCGAGGACTCATTTACAAGAGACCTGATATAAACAAAGAACACAGATGAGGTACAGACAACAATAGGCAATCATATAAAAAGCATATAAAATAAAAAGTAAATAGAAGAAATTAAATAAAAACAAAATAAAACCAGCTACATTATAAAACGTGTAAAATGCTAAAACCAGAAACATGTCTGCATTGATTTTTGCCATGAATTTAACAGCTAAACTAAAGATACAGCGCTCCGTCCCCCACCACCCCACTCCGCACGCTCAAAAACTGTCTGCACAAATAGCACACAAACAGAAGCATCTCCGCCCCACCATCCCATCAACAAAAATCACGGAAGAGATGAGCGGCCTGCCAAGGCAAGTAATATAGGGGAAACTAGTTACCAGGTTACTGAAAAGGTTATTATTTTATATCCCTTTATAATGTAACTGCTTTTGTTTCATTTTTTTTTAAATATTTTTCAACATTTTTCAGTTGTACTACTTAAAATAGGTTCAAGGTCAGTAAACACAACCAGAATACAGAAGACAGGGTCCTGGAGAGCCCTCATGTTCCGCTGAGAATCTCAGGAGGATGCCGAAGACATATACAATCAGATTTATGATAACAGGTTTCCTGCTTTTCGGAATCGGCTGGTTCCTGGTCTATCAACATACAAATAAGACAGCTGCAGCTAATTTGGCCCTCGTCAGGCTGCTTGCTTTGGAAGGTTTGGTTTGTGATTTGAGGACTCAAAATCAGCTGATTTACGAGCTAAACCATAAGATGGAAGTGATTTGTGAGAATCACAGGCCAGGACTCTGAGGTCTACACTCATCTCCAGGCTAGCGGTCACTCGTTCAAGGATGAAAATGTTCAAATCCTTGATAGAGAGGAACGATGGTTTGAGAGAGGAGTAAAGGAGGCCATCTTTGTGAAAAGAAACCGTCCATCATTAAACAGGGGTGGAGCCTCCGCGTTCAACTGTCCCCCTCTTACAATGCTGTTATTGCTAGTGTCACTCAGCCCTCTGTGAACAGTAAACAGCCATCAGGTGCTAATGATCCATTGTTAGGCTGATGGTCCTTCTTGATCATGTGAGCAGCTGGTTCTGGTTGTCAGCAGCAAAACTGGTTGATCCACTCTGAGAAGGTGCTATTTAAGAGACTGAGCTGAATTCAGCACCTCAGAATGAGGAAGTCTTTCGGATGAAAGACGAAGCGTTTCTACAATTGTTTTAGTTTTGTTTTGCTTTTTTTTTATGAATGTCCAGAGGACCAGATTGAACTTTTTTAAAATTTTCTTCCTGGATTATTGAGCATGCATCAGGAGATATCAAATGTAGTTTTAGCCATAAATAAAATAATGTTGTTAACTCTTAATAGTTCCTAGTCTTCTAACTTAAGAAGTGAACAGCAATAGAACAGTATTTTACCTAAATGTGTGCAGTGAAAGCACTTAACCCTCCAACCCTCCAGTGGGCATTTCCTTCCGCTTTAAGGAGAGCTGACACAAAATGGCGACCAGTTTCCTCTGTGGCTTTGACCAGACAGGGTATAGCAGTAAAATCACACAACACAGCATTCTTTTCACTGATCAGAGAGCAGGTTTAACCCTTTTTTTAATCACAAATGCACTCTCAAAAGCTGAAAAACACTTATTTTAACTTTTGATGGAACAGAGCGTTTTGAGCATGCATCCGAATACGGCAACAGTACGGCAAGCTGGCCGTAGTTATCGTGTGGCTTTGCTACTTAGCTCTCGAAGAAAACATAATTTAACACCATTTACGCAGTTTTCAACTTAAAAAATGCAACAATTAAATCTGACAACTCTGATTTTACATCAGACCCAGCATTACTGTGGTTAGCCGGTAGAAAACATCTCCATCATAGGCTAAATGTCTATTGTTTCTACCGTGTACCGCATATATCGCGCATTCCTATACTGCACTACAGTACATACTTTACTATGACCAAATGTTCTCAGTCAGTCATCTTGTGGACTGCTTGGAGTTTCAGACTCTTTCAAGAGCTGCTAGCTCACACTTCACCAATCGCTCCCCACGAGATCGGATGCTTCTCCCTCCCTCTCCGCTTTGCTTCTCCGTCTGTCTGTGAAACTGCTTCTGAGGCTCTCTTGCATTTCTTCCGAACCATAATTATGGACGTGTTTCGACCAGTTGGTCTCTCATCTCAATTTACAACATTTCTTGAAGAGAAGACAGGCTTTGGGCGAGCCGATTTACCCTGTTGGCACGTACGCAGCTGGATATCTCATTGACTGGAAGACTTGATGATGTGTCCATCTCTGCTGCCATCTGTGGATGTTAAGGACGCATATTTAATTGGATTTTCGATAACTGGTTCCTGCTTTTTTTGGATTCAGCTGGTGCTGGTTTTATCTACAATCAAGGAAGTTGTCAGCAGCAAATTTGGACCCGATCACGCTGCTTGTCTTTATGATGGCTTGGTTCATGTTCTGGAGTACCCGGACTCAAATGTTTTGGGCTGAATGGATCAGATCTTGGGGATTTTTACTCAGACACGTTTCCATTGGTGTTGGCCATGTTAATTTGGACATTTCGGAACCGAGTAGACCGACACGGACTGAAGGTTGATGTCATTAAGTTTTACCTGTCCCCAAAACAACTGTGTGTTTATCTAAATTTTGGTCGCCTTGGTTGTCCTTGAAGGCCATCTTATCTAAAGTCGCCTGGAGAAAATGTGATCTGACGCTCACCACCCCCTCCCTGAGAAATTTCCAACTGATAACCAGATGAAACCCCGCTGAAAAAACTTTGTGTCATCATTTCAGGACTCTGGATTCTTATAGAGGTTATTCTTGGCCATTTTTCGACATACCTCGAGAATGTTTATGGATCTCACCGGAGGACATTGACTGATTACAGTGACCTCGAGAGCATCTGTAGGCGTTGCTGACCGCTCTCGTCTCTTCTTTCTTCCTTCTTCCTGCTCTGCAGAATGTCTACGTAAATATGTGCTTGTTTATGCGAGGTGTTTTTTCAATATTAGGGGTTTTTCTCAGCCAAGAAAAAAGTCTGATAGGAATTTTTTTCGCCTCCAACTCCTACATGTGTCCAGTTAACCATTGTTTTTGTCTGTCCAAACAGGTCTCACTTGTAAATGAGTCTTCGAGGCTCAATGTGATTTATCTGTTTAAATAAAGGTTGAATGAATGAATAGAATGGATATTTTTCCTACTCCTCCTCTTCCTCCTCATCACACTTTACAAGAGAGGCTCTCGCAGAGAATTTAAGACTGGGATTAAAGTAGAGAAATATTTTGACTTTTTCTACACCTGACCACTTGTACATGACCACAGTAAAAGTACACAGGATACTCTGCACATGATCTTAGTAAAAGAGAAAGACTGAAGACGTATTTTGGATAAAAGACAAAACGTTTCAACAAGAAGAACTCATCCAGAGGAACTGACTCCACCTTGTTAGAAGTCAAGTTGACAGGTGACTGAGGGGTTAGTGTACAGATAATGAGTAATACAACACTAGTGACCATCTACAGTCCTTAACCTTAAGCCAGTTGGGAGGGTTGGAGTTATTTCTGTCCACCGGGGGGCGCTGGTCATCTGGCTGGACCCTGCTGGCAGCTGTGGGCATTGAAGGGATGACTCCATATGTCATGAACATCTGAAAACATTCAGATAAATTTATCTTCACCTGCTACCAGTTCAATACAGAAAAGTATGATGCCACTCATTTTTGTGTGATGCCATTGTCTAAATAAACGTTGAATGAATGAATCATACACGAGATAATACCTTAATGACGTTGTCATGTGGTGCTCTTAGACCACTCATCTCTCGGATATGTTTCCTGATGCTCCATCGACTTTTACAGAGGAGGTAGGAGCTGATAAGCTGATCCAATTGAACCGCCCCATCAAAATGTTTCAGGCCCAGAACAATCAACCTGCACCATCAAGGGGAAAAAATCATCCGTGTAAAAGTAATTTCATGTCCTGCTGTATCTGCAGCTGCCATACAGTGATGAATTGACTTACTACTAAACACTGATAAAGTCATAATAATGGGTGATTTCAATATTCATGTAGATGTTGAACGCGATAGCTTAAGCATAGCTTTTAATAATTTAATAGAGTCATTTGGTTTTACCCAAAACGTCCGCACATCTACTCATTCGTATCATCACACTCGACTTAGTTCTGACCTACGGTATAGAGGTTAAGGACTTAGTAATAGTTCCTCAAAATCCTATTCTGTCCGACCATTTTTTAATAACCTTTGAGTTTACATTAAATGACTACACAGTCACTGAGAGTAAATTTCATCTCAGCAGGTGCTTATCAGAAAATGATGTAACCAAATTTAAACAATCTCTTCCATCAATGTTTTCCTCTGTCTTGCAGAGTAATGCATCAGAGAAAGGTGACTTAGATCATCTAGTTGATAATTTTACAACTTCAGTGCAAATATCGCTTGATAAAATTGCTCCGCTGACTCCTGGCAGGGTCCAATGCAGACATGTTCCTGTTTTTAGTTTTCTACATTTGTCTTGGAACCTAGCTGTTTTTGTTTTGTTACCTTTTTCCTTTTAGCCATCCTATTTGTTAAAAAAAAACAAAAAAACTGTAGTATGAGTTTTTATAACTGTTTATTGTTGTTGCTGTTGTCCATTGTTGTCATCTTTCTTTGTTGAAATCAGGTCTCTCTTGTAAATGAGTCCTCGAGGCTCAATGGGATTTACCTGTATAAATAACGGTTGATTGATTGATTGATTGATAAAGAAAGTCAAAGGAAAAATCAAAGAAAACTGGCTCCTTGGTTCAATTCTGAGTTACGTACTTTAAAGCAGGCATCTAGAACCAAGCAGAGAATATGCCGCTCTACTAATTGAGGACCGCCATGCAAATGCATGACAGGCACCTATTTTTTCTCACGTCAGAAGTGTGTCTACATTTCTATCTCCATTAATGCAGCCTGAACCACAATGTCTACCACCACAAAAGTTATCAAACGACTGGCTCGGCCCCGTGATAATTATATTAATAATTATTTTAATACAAATTATTAATACAAATATTATTAATATTAATAAATAATATATTAATAATTATTTATATTAATAATTAGTAGTTAGTATTAAATAATTAATAATTATTAATATTAATATTTATCAATAATAGTAATTTAATAATAAACAAGCTGTCTCGATTCTACTCTCCTGAGAGTAAGTTAACTTACTCTTCTTTCAACTATAATGCGACCCGAGCCATAATGTGCACCAACACAAATGTTATATAAAAACCACCAGCTTGGCCCTGGTATGTGTGCTATTACTTTTTCTGGCAATCAGAGTTACCATGGTGACATAATTTGCTAACAAAGACACCTAAATTCTTAACGCAGATGGACAGAACCATGATCCGGTGCGGCGAGTTCCAGATCCAACCTGTGCCGGCACAAAGAAGCTACTGCCAGGAGGTGGAGATTCTGCCTTCTCCCCTCCTGGTCCTCGAAGAAAGGAGAACGTCCCAGCGCCGGATGGACCGCCTGACCTGCGAGTCCAGCCCCTCTTCATCTCCAGCTCTGTTCGGCTATTCGGGGTGGACCTGTGGGAGGGGCCAAAGGGGTCGGGTGCAATGTGGGATGGGTGGTGGCCGAGGGCGGGGACCCTGGCGGTCTGATCCTCGGCTACGGAAGCTGGCTATTGGGACGTGGAATGTCACCTCACTGGTGGGGAAGGAGCCTGAGCTGGTGTGTGAGGCTGAGAGGTTCCGGCTAGAAATAGTCGGACTCACCTCTACGCATGGCTCGGGCTCTGTGTAGTGAACCTGATCTGACCTCAAATCTGATCAGATGACAGAGACTGTTATTTCATTGATCTGCATCCAGAAATACAGTTTGAGCCATCTGGAGACTTTCTTCCTTGAATTAATCAAGTAGAAAAGACAATCCTCTATGATCATTACTATTTTACAAATGTTTGATAATCAAATTGTGTTAATTCACTCAAGGCTTACAGGTTGAAGAGAACTACTCATTTTTATTTTACATAAACAGTAAGTAATGATTTTTATTCCTCATTCTAAGAAGAAATCAGGTTAATATGCATTTCTTGATTTTTCTGTCTGCAATAAGCAAGTTTTGTAAGTATGTTAAAGGTCGAGTCTCGGTCAACTAAAATGTTTACTGAGAAGAAATGTCATGTTTAAACTTTTTCAGAAGATAAAAAGAGTGAGACTCCACGAAGTCTGAAGTTCTACAATAATCTTTCTGTTTGTCACTAAAACAATCCTTGACTTTTAATAACATCTTACATCACAAAACACACCTCTATTCTGGCCCATCCACGAATCAGAAAGCTTTAAATTGACCCGGAAGTCAACTCAATTAAAATGTGGCAACTTCCCGGTTCAAAAAAGTCTGAAGTCTGAAGCCAGACACTGAAGATTAATGGAGCTGAGAGTCTGATGCTGCAGAGCTCTGAGAGTTCCACACAGAGTGCTGAAGAGTGATGGAGTTAAAGTGTAAGAGTGTAACAGAGTTCTAACTCATGAAGAGAGTTAAAGGATCCAAATGCAGAGACGTTTTGGGATTATAATTTCTGTTTGGATAACCTCGTACGACTCTCTAAGGGTTTGGCAGTTCTCACGGAGACGCTGAAAGAGTCAGAAAGGAACCCTACGCCGACGCTGATTTTATCGTCAACCAGGTAGAAGGTTCTATTTTCGACCAAGTGTACCGTGGGCAAGCTGAGATCTGATGGAACGTGCACGTTTCTGGTCAAACAGATTAATTCCCTCACAAATCTCTCTGTAAGATAAATCTCCATTTCCATCTTAAACTCTGCTTTCCCTTAAAATCAGTACAGATATTTTAGAAATATCTGAAGCAAAGTCCTCGATCACCGCCGTGTGATTGAAGTCCATTATCTGTGAAACTTGTCTGTTATTTTCATATTTTGCCAAATTAATGTAAATGTTTGATGTTAAACTTTGATTCTGAAAATAAATGACCGCATTCATTTGATGGGTCAAAGATAAATAACGTCTCTCGTTCGCATTTCTGTTAAATTCAATGCACGACATTTACACAATCAGAAAGATGAGGAACTCGTGAAAAGTATGAATATATATCCATATATGACATACTACAGTTGGTGGCCCGTAACGTGCTCATAAATGACTGTAAATTCGTGTAAAGATTGATTTTTTACATGTTGGCATAAAATAACAGTATCAGCTGTGCTGGAACGCAGCTCAAGCTGCGCCGCTTTGAAGTCAAAACGCTGCATGTTTTAAGCGTGCTGGAATGTGATGCTTGGGAGCTCACAGAAAGCTGAAATAGTGTCATAAGTCTTTATGAAAGCTGAAATTGTACGCCTGTTACGTGTAACTAAGCTGATGAAGCTGTGGAAAACGTTATTCTGTTTAAACTGTGGTCCAAACGGACGGAGGTTCTATTGGCCGGCTCGGTTCTGGAAAAAGTTCGAACGAGTTGTTTTAAACGGTTTAAAAGACGTTGTGCCACGGAGCGCCGACTCCGTGCAGCTCAGAGAGTTGATTCGTTACATTTTTTAACAGAAAAAGTGCATTTTGACAGTTTAAAAGACGAAAAAGTGACGAAATGATTTTATGCTAATCTAGCATGCTAGTTGCTTTAACGTTTCGTGATTGGTTGAATATTGCTGCTGTGGAGCGCTCTGATTCGCTGAGAATTGACTGACGTGGCTACGTCATTTCCTCTCAACCCTGCGCTGCTCTGTCATTGGTGATTTCAGTCACGTGACCCGGAAATGAAAATTCGTTTTCATAGGGAAATAAAATCTGCTTTTTAAAGCTGAAAAGCGCTTTAAAAGTGTATTTTGATACGCTGGTTAAGTTCTTCGAAGCATACTCGCTGAAATTTTGCCACGTTAGAGTTTAAAATCCGTCATTAAATGATGTTTTTGAACAACGCTAGCGATGCTAATTTTAAGCTAACAGCTAACGACCGGATGAGTGACGTGTCACGTCACTTCCTCCATGTCGGAAATGAGCTTTGCCGTGCTTAAAATCACTAAATAAAGCTGCAATATTGTCCCAGAAAACTCATGTTCATGCATAAAAGTCGTGCTTGTTGAAACTACGCCACGTTTACGCTTAAATTCGTTCAGAAATGTTGATTTTGACCGAGTTTAGCCGAAGCTAACTTTAAGCTAAGCGGCTAACAACAGGATGTCAACCGAACGTCACAGGAAGTCGTCATAGACTCCTGCTGGTAGAAAGCTAAACACTACACCCTCCTGGAGAAACTTTAAATCACAGTTTCACTTCAGTTTTAGGTTTAAAGAGTGAAATTAAACGTTTTTATTTTTCTGTAAGGCATTTTTGAGTTAACAAACTTCCTCTAGCTGAATAAACACTGTTATCTTGCATTTTAAAAGTTATAAAGGTATTTATGCAAAGAGCATTTACCAAAGAGACTTTATTCACTGGTAATCCCTTATAAAGGTACAAAATAAAGTTAGGAACTTTAAAAAATAGAAACGGTTCAAATATTCACAGAGTTGAAAAGTTTACTCATTTTGCTTGAAAGATAATACACGTTTAATTGCAAAATCACTAAATAAGAGTAAACTTATCAGGAAAAAGAAACTTTTCTGTTTAAGTTGCCACCTAAAAAATAAATCTTCCTATTTAATTTTAAATAGAAGCCACTGACAGGAGGACAACAGGAATAACAGTTTTTCTGAGGAAGGACTGATTAATCCTGATACATCATCAACTTTTCTTTTTCTTTTCACAACTTAGTTCTATGAGTAACTGTTAAAATAGCAAATTTCTGGAACAGAACGGTTTAAAAAACGTTTTAAACCGATGATTGCTGTGAGACTTTTAGAAAAATTGCAGGTTTATAAAAAATTCAGTGCTTTAGAGTAAAATACACTAAAAAGAGCTTGGTAACTGG